GAGCAGTCTCCCAACGGTACAACGGAACGGATTGGACATCGACAAACATGATTTCTTTTGGCATTTCCGCATGGTGGGGCCGCGGAAAACATTGGGGGGGAAGCGAATTCAATCGGAACGAAGCCACCGATGGCTATCAACGGTATTGTTCAGAAAAGTCACGTAACCACTGGAGCACGGCGAAATTGTACATACACTGCGAAGCATAATCATAGTTCCACCCATGAATCTCACAAAATCCTGTCATACACGAAGTTTTCCAAAGTGCCCCCATACAAGATGTGGTATTTATATACCAATACCAATTCGCATGCCAACAACAACCACTGACTTGAAAAAACAATTTTTTCGTCAGTTTTTTCAAAAATTGTCGTTCTGACAACGCAGCAAAATGATAGTTCCACCGAACAAATCAAATATTTCATACACTAGAATGAATAAATTTTGATCCAGCTATCTATTGGAACTCTATTTCTCCAAGTAAGTTGGAAAATGCGGTTGCCCATGTTCTATTAGAGATTTTAATAGGCTGTCGGCCCACTGGTCCAATGATTAACTCCCTAAGCCCACGGACATTGTGGAATTGTGCATTACTCTCATGGATCATACGCACCATGAAGCCCCTCACATCCTCGATTCGGTTTATGTCGGGGCTATTTGCTCGCCAGGGCAAAAGAGCGGTTTGGTGATAATTGAATCACCGAAGCTCGAGTGCTTCAACTGTCATAAACTGGTGCATTATCCTGCATTAAAACAGGACTTTCTTACTGATTTCCACGCCAGAAGCAAGGAGACGTTGTCGCATGACTTTTAGATGATGGAAGAAGCCATTTATTCTCTCATAAGGAGCGCAGTTCCAGACGTTCCCTTAAAGGCACATTCCGCGAAAAAATAAGGCTATGTCCTCTCAAAAGTAGTCGGACGACCCGGAAGGCGATTTTTGAGGCTGCGCTACTTTCTAAAATGTGAAAAACGCAAGAGCTCCGCTAGAAGCTGGCTAATTAGGCCCATGGACACCCCTTAGGCCCATGCCGACCTCACGGCTGCTAGCTACTATCTAGTAGCCACTATGTTATCTTTACCTATAACATTTCGGACTGCTTTTACTGCTGCTTTTCTCCGCTAATCAGATACTTAGCACTTTTTTGTGCCTATTTTGAGTTCCGTTTCCCGCAATTTGCAATCGCGAACTGTGCCTTTAAGGCGATGGCAGCCCAGACCATGAGACCACATCCACTGAAGTTCCGCCCGGAAAAATGAAACTTGTCTTTCCTCAAATCGTGCCAGCAAAATGGGTTTTCGTCGGAGCCGTCGCAATTGAATTTTTTCACATCAGAAAACACGACCGCGAGAAAAAAAAACTGAAAAAAACAACACAGAAAAGCAGTAGGGCACCGAAGCCAAAAGCTAACCTCACTCCATTGGGTTCGGCAACATCTTCGAGCAAAACCAGTAAGGTTATAGCGGTGGTTTTTCGTTAGAAACGGCACGTAACTCATTCCTCTTACGTGTGAACTAGGACGTTTTTCAAGAGACGCCTAACAGTATCCTCCGAGACATTAAGCTGCTAAGATGACTCAATTTCCCGACACGACACTGCAGAGTTGGATGCTTTCCTAAGGATACGGGGGTTATTCCGATCGGGAAGCAAAGAGGATATCCAGAGCTCTTCTCAACCCAACATGCTGTAGGTTCCTTGGAAAAAATTGTTGATAGAATGATGAGTGCGGCCCGCATCCCGAGCGCTCGGCCCTTCACCAGTTTTTGAGTCTTCTTTGCGTTTCTGTCCTTTTTCGAGGTCCATTAATGAAGTTCCACTTGCCATAGCCTAGAAGAAGCGAGACGTCTTAACGATGAGAAGTTTCACCGAACAAAAATTGAGATGCAGCCGGAAAATATGCGGTGGAACTATATTTTTGCTGCGTTGTCAGACCGACCACTCTTGAAAAAATTGACGAAAAAAAAATTGTTTTTTCAAGCTAGTGTTTGGCTTGGCATGCGAATTGGTATTAATTACCACATTTTCTGTATGGAGGCATTTTTGAAAACGTCGTGTAAGACAGGACTTTGTGAGATTCAGGGTTGAAACTATGATTATGCATCGCAGTGTATTTATGAATTTTTCAGTTCTTTATTGCCTGCTGCCGCCATCTTCGACCTGGAACCACCACCATTTGCGGGCGCGACGTCGCGCACGACGCCTAGATTGCGGCGAATTACGATTCTCTTGTCATGTAGTACCCCCGATGCGCGGCTATTCATATACTCCCCGTGAGATTGCTTGTGATTTGTGGGTATACGGACAGCATACTTTATTTCACGTTGCAGAACTCCAAGTAGTAGATGCGATTTCTACGCGTAGTGTTTATGCTAAAGTCCGGCAGATATATAAGTCGGCCGTTGGATAAGTCCGCGCGACATCGCCATGTCCACGCGCGCGGACACTAAAGCGGGACTTGGTAGATTGAAGCCAATTGTTGTTTCGAGCAACCTTGATTTGGAAAATACTTCTTTAGATTAACTGGCTATGAGAAGGATACGGTAAAGGTTGGATAACTAAAGAGCTGGGGAGAGATCGAATGACAGAAATATGGAATTGAATAAGAAAAAAAAGAGGAATTGAATAAGGAAAATAAAGGTTTGATTGGGAAAAAGCTTTTTGTGAAGGAGTTCCACAGCAATCTCAAAAGCACGTTCAGTTTTGTTGATGCCGCGTACAATGATAAGATGGAAAATAAAGTCAAATTAAACGCACAAACAAAGCTTAAGAGAGGAAATGCGATGAGCCGTTAGATTAGATAGATCCTCCATACTTTGTGACACTTCAGGCAAGATGGGGTGCAAAAGAGAAATCTACTATTCGCTCTGAATCTTTCTATCAGAATCTTTCTATCACAGTTTCTTTCTCCAACACTACGGTGTTCCTTTGGAATTTCTTCGAAGAGAACACCAGTAGAGAACTTCCTACTTGTTGTTTGCTCTAAACTTCTTTATCTTTTCTCTCATCTTCTTCGATCATCCACTCTTTACTGTTCTTTTTTATGATCACGTCTTCTAGATCTACCGAACTTCAGGGTGGTTCTAGAGATCTCGTGATGGTGCGACTATTCTGCTACTAGCTCTTTTAATTTTCAATGGCGAGAGTGAGGGATAAAGGGAAAAGTGGCGATGTCGTTAGGATACCAGGGGAGAACTGCTCCAAGCACACTGTCTCTGCAATATCGACTTCGCCATACAAGCTCGGATTGGCAGTATTCCTATCTAGGGCACTTCATAATGTTTTCTCTCCTTCTTCTTCATTAGAGTTTATTGCCACCTTCTCACTAGTATAGTCTCACTACCTACACTTCTTGATAGCAGAATGCCTTTTCGAGTTGTCTTGCCAACATTAGTGATTCTTTGCGCTAATACTGGCAAAGGCAGTATTGTAGGAATTCATATTCAAAACAGAAATTCAGAAAGTTTATGACAAAAAATGACACCAATCAACGCGAACGAAATACACAAACGAAACATACGCACGTAACATGGCAGTCACTCGGGAGTAGTGTGAGGAGGGCGGGATCAACCCGCGTTTATCTGCTTTGGTCTGCAAGTGGTGATCAGTTAGTGATCGATTCAGGAATGAAACCGTGGGTCGGAGGGAGAGGGGTCGATCCCACCAATCCGACTGGTTGTGATGACACCAACTTTACTGCTGACATTGCAAGCAAAAGAAAAGTCAAGCAAGATCAAACGAAGCGCAGGGTTTTCTTGGTTGTCGTCTTTTTCACGGGAGACGGTAAAGAGGATCGTAATTCGCCGCATCGCCACGCGCGGCGATGGGTGCGGCTTTTCATCACTTGTTTTAACCTGGCGAATGGAGCACCGGACTTCATGTAGAACCCGCCATCGTAGTACTGCCCGGAACTATCGTCCCTTGCGGGTGAGACGTCGCACGCGACGCCCAACAGCGCGGCGAATTACGATCCTCTTGTCACATACCCCTTTTTCACAACTGGTGGTCTGTTCACCAGTTAGCGAATGAGGTGTGAGTCGTACCTCATTTTGAGCAAAGGAAGGGGAAGGTATCATCGTGAGCTGGGAATCTCGCTCAGCCCCATGGAACTCCTTGCGCAGGTACCATGGTAACATTTGGTGCATCAGGCACCAAGCATGACTTCCATTTTTCCACCTTCTCCACAGTTTACTCTCAATGATCTCCGTGCAGATTGCAATGAGTGTACCGACAAAAAAAAATTAAACACTGCTTTACCAGAAAAATAGATGTTGTAGATGCCGATATCATTCATGGATATCGCAAGAATTTAATTCAATCGTTAAATAAACTTTTTGTTTTTAAAAAACGTCGATGTCCTGGCAGTCAGATATTGTGATGATGCTTTGACCGATGTAGACAGACCTCCATATGGACGGTGTTGGCGGCACAAAGCTTGGAGGCTTCGCACGGATTGGATCTTTTGCTGTCCTTCCAGTTTTTCTTACACTATCAACTCCTGCCATATGTCTTCAAAAGTTTGCAACGACAAAACACATCAAGCCAATCTTATCTAAACGTTAATTATGTGCGACATCCTTCGCAGTTCTAGGTCGAATCCGAATGCATGGCGCATCTATCACCACCGCTCTGTTTTACGCTCGTTGCATTGGTCTTTTTATTTTCTTCGGCTATTTTGAATGCGAGCTGCGAAAGCGATAGAGGCGAAAGAAGAAAATAGGCGTGTGGTTGTCACAGTGTGCGTTTTGGTCTGCAATTGCACAACGCTTGCTGTTTGGATTATGATTTCCTTTTCGGGCTTGGCTTTCGTTTCTTTTCCTAGCTGTCATTTGAAACTTGACATATATTTCTTTTTTTTCAGCTGTTTTTTTTTCTTAAAATCATCCTGTTGATTGTTCGAGCCACAGAGCCGTTTCCATTAGTTGAAACAAATTAACTAAGCAAAGCTAATTTCTGGTCCTCAAACCACTTTATTTTAGTTTTTATCTGAGCGGATTGAGCGATGGTGCAAAAGTGGCGTTCACTGGCACTTCCACAGAACGTTGAGAACTCCCTATCTAGAAAGGTGGGTATGTTTTTGCGCCACTAATGAATTTAACACATTCCGGATCGCCGTTGTGCGAGGATCTCCGCTAATTTCGTTACTTTTCAAACGATAATCAGCAATTTCATCTGCTCCCTTCACATTTCTATGAGATATTTGTATTCTGTGCCTGAAAAATGTGATAACTGATAACTTGGAAGCATGAATAAGATGCCAAACAGACTATGAAACGACGTAGAGAGAAAAACTATGACACATGTGTCACGCGGTCCAGAACGTGTTAAATATTGGTGATTATATACCGCACATCAACTTAATGGCTCTCTCTTATATCAATCTTCTCCAGTCCGTTCAGTGGCTTCTGTACAAGAATCCGCGAAAATCAATTATTTCAGACAAGACGGTCAACAGTCCTGACGTCAAGTGCTAGCACTTCCACTTCTACACCACCTGTTCGAAAACGGGAACGCTCATCTGAGTTGAAGAGACCTACTATTCATTTCAAAACTCAAAAAATTAGCAAAGGTTCGGCAGGAAAACGAAAGGGTAAGACTATGAGTCGCTTTGTTATAGTGCGTTTATAGTTTGTCGCAGCGTTCAACATTGGCGCGGACGCCCAAAACGCTGATCGATTCCTATACCTTCCTAGTCAGTTGAAATGCTCGAAGCGCTGCCGCAATGTATGAATATACTCTTAATGTGGCGTTCTGTTTCGAATAAGCATATCAGTGTATTTTTCTCGTATTGCTTTTCAGAAAATAAGGTTAATGCCCTGTGCAGACGAGAAAAGGAGTTCGATACCATTTGTGGTTGGATTAAGGAAGCTGTGGACACATCACACCCACTGTCAGTTTACATCAGCGGCTCACCTGGAACTGGTATCGATTTGATTCTTCCTATTCTGAAAAGCAACTCATTGAATTCTTTCCCCTATATTATTATTAACTGGACATGTGTTCGATTTTGATTTGGAGATTTTGAGTGCAAAGCTATGACCTAAAGCTGCAGTTTCATTTCGCAATTGCTTCATTAGCAAGGATTCGTTGTTTCTGAACCATGTTGATTACTGTGCTGTATTCTGTTATTCTCATTGTTACAGTCTTGTTCACTGCAGATGATGGGGCGTGTCAAGGCGATGTATTTGGCGCGACGCCACCCCGTCTTTCTCCTTTTAGCAAGCGATAAGACTGTATCAAGTCGTCAGTGAGTGAGGACAGTCGTTTTCTACCAACTGCTGTCGCACCCGCTTCAACCGTTGCTGGAGAGCGGGCTGGCGGTGCATCAAACCCGGGCTCACTGACACATCCCTGATCTGCAGCGAATAAGTTGGTAAACGCCCATCTGTTTTAGGGAAAACTGCAACGTTGAAGCGTGTGAGTGAGTACTTTGATCGCCAGGCCGTATTTACTATTTTGAACTGTGCCTCCATTACTTCCCAGACCAAGCTCATTGAAAGCATCCTCAGCACCTTGGAGGTATGCCGCTAAGTCGTAGCTTGACAGCTGTTTTAATATTTATTCAGTAGAAGCATGTTTAGGTTTTACAGAGTACTTTAAAGCTGAGTCATTGCAGTGTCCTTCTCGACCTACTCTAGCTGCTTTAACTTCTGCTCTGAAAGGATTACGAAAACATTTTGTGCTTATTTTGGATGAAGTGGACCATCTCACATCGAAAACAAATTCGTTTTTGTATGCTGCCTTTCAATGGCCTCAGACAATAACCAGCAAATTGATAGTTATAGGTAAAAGCTTGCTCAATACTCAATTCCTTCTTGTCGCTTCTAGTTAACCTGTCCCTGCAGTTGGCGAATTAGTAAGTTAAATCCTGTTAGATATTTAGGTGTTGCGAATTCAATTGATCTCACAGAACGATTACTGCCTAAGTTGAGATTGGGACAGCCTCCAGAAACGCTGGTGTTTGCTCCTTATTCAAAAGACGATATAGCACAAATTCTGAAAAATTCTATGGTTCACGAATCGGTATGTATTCTTGTCGTTCACATAATTACTAGATCGCAAGATTTGACTTAAGGAAGGTGCTATGGATGCTGCGGCAGTGGAGTTGTGTTCAAGGAAAGTCGCAGCTATGTCCGGAGATTTACGAACAGCTCTTCACGTAATAAAACAGACCCGGTGAGAAGATGCCGCGTATAACAATCTGAAAACTTCCAAGTACATAACGAGTCTAGAAATGCTTATGAACCATCAACACCTCGAGGTTGTCGGGAGGTATTGGGTGTGTTGAACGGCGTTTATTCATCACCACTCGCAAGAGCACGTCTACCACTTCAGCCGCGCCTTCTGCTTGCTGTTGCTGTTGCTCTTTCATCGAACAAAAAGGTTCGAATAATTTTTAATCCTTTTTTGCTGCGTTTCTACCAAATTGCCGCTTCTAGAGGCTTAGCTGGCGCATATTTTGCGACAGCGTTTCGAGAGCACGTACCGTTTCGAACGATTAGGGATATATAGGTGGATCCAACATTTTGAACTTACCGAGCGTTTTCAACGAGTGATCGCGAAGAATTCAAAACTACTAGCGAAACGTTAAAAAACTTTTCTGAGGTTGAAAATGCTGACGCAGAGTGAGCACCTTGAGCATGACTCAAAGTCCAAGATGATTTCTCCTTTACAGTGAGCCCATTCCCTCAATCACTTTTTTTCTGAAACTTTTGGGAGGACAGAAGCTCAATAAAAGAAATAGTTTCCCTCATTTAACGCCCGCTTGAGCGGATTACAGCCCTGGTTGTCACCCGAGACTGTCGTCAATCAAACCACCTTGTTTTTCTGATGAGATCGTTTTCGGATTAATTCAGTGTGCTCATTGTGTTGCAGAATTCGCTCAGTGTCACTTCCTTAATGAATGCGTATCATCGAGCGTGTGATGTTGTCAAGGTCCCCCGGCTCGAAGGGGAAGATTTGGACGCAGCTTTACAAATACTTGAAAGTCAGTCTTTCCTTGCTTCGGGTCCAGGTGGAAAGTTATTGTTGCAGGTTAGTCGGCTGATTTTCTTGTACATCAGTTCCCTACATGTGCACGGTGAGGTTTCAGAAGAATTACGTGTGATACAGAAAAGTGTAACTCTTCCAGGTAAATACTGCTACTGCGAAGTTAGCGATTGCTGATAACATAATGATTGCTCAAGTAACGGGACTCAATCTGTGAATTTGGTATATAATTTATTATGTGATTCTTCAGTTCCAAGTCTTTTCGGTGTATGAATAAACGTTTGCTGGAATTCCTGTATCTTTTTATATACTCGAGGTAGCTTCACCGTGTGCTTTCAGTTCCAGTATTCATGTGGACAAGGTACTATGCAGTTCTAACAGTCTTACGGCGAATGGAATACTGGCTATTTTTCATGAGGGTAGAGCCTTTTGCAGCAAAGATTTGTAAAGAATGTGCGAATCCCACTTGCAAAAAAAAGTGGACCTTCCAAAATTTTAGAATATTCTTGTTTGTTAGTGTTTTGCGGCATTCAGCTCTGCAAGATTCGGTGCTAACGATAAGGCAGGAGAAGGATAGAGACGTACGCGCACTGCTCGTTTGCACTTTCCAAAAGTAGAGCTTGTAGTGGGAGCAGAATCTGTGTGAGAGCGTGTTCATACTCAGCCACTGGTCGCACGAATCGGGCGATTCGCGCAATTAGAGCGACCGATCACGAGCTATGTGTGTCCACCGGCACCATAGATTTGTGACCAAACCTAGGATAGAAGGAACAACCGTTTCCTTGAGGATAAAACAATTATTTTTCGCGAAACGATATCCATTCCAAAACAAAGCAGGGATTACTTCTCCTGACGTCTATAATGAAAGGAGTGCTTCTCAACAAAATGGTCTCTCCTTGTTGGGAGAGCACCAAAATATCGCGGATTTCCTAAGAGTAAGGCAGTAGTGCAGTAAGTCTTTGCAATCATATTTTCACATTAAGCAACAATGGTCTTGAGGTTAGTGAAGTCTAGGAGGGGGTTGTATTTGAGTCGCTAGGGAAAGAGGGTCATGTTTGACCTCAAGACGATTTCTCCTATGCCACTAGGCAACAGAGTTCCCCTTAACTTATAAGTTGCGGCTGTACCATGTGATATGCCGGATAGCTACACAGTTGCTTTTTATAAGTGAACTGAATTGAGGTTTTTCAGAAGCAATGAGGCCGTTAACCAATGAAGAAACCGAGCAGGTATTCTCTAAACTAGCATCATTTATAGGCGATAATGTGGCGCTTCTTATCGAGCGAGCAGATGGTGACTACTGTTTTCGGAATCACAAGGTGAAAGCATTTACTATGTCTTTTTCCTGTATTCTGCACTGGATAGCGATGGACGTGGGTAGATGCGTGAAATCGATGAAACGATTCTTTAGGAACGAGTTTACTACTGTTCGGAAAACCTGATGCGGCAAGCTAGTTGTATTGCACGGGAGCCACTTCTGTCGTTTGGCACTTGCCTTGGTAAATTCACGAAGTCTCGCAAATTCCATCTTCATATCACAGCACTCGACTATTTAGCGCCATATGCCAAGGCTCGTCAGCACTTTCATTTATGGACCTGGTTCATGCTTTGCGAATCCGTAGTTAGGGTATCATCGCTGTTAGAATCGGGGGGGGGGGTAGGGAGTGTAAGTGTGGTCTCGGGAGGAATTTCCCAACTGTTGTCATGTCCGGACGTCTCAGTGGATTCGCCTTCTTGGGTGCCTGAAAGGGTCGAGCCGCATTATGGTCATCCGAACAAGCATGCAACATACCCACTAATCATTTTTTCAATCGTTTCATTTTTCCTGTTTCTCGGGCGTTACTTGTGCCCTGCCTCGGGCGCCCGTTTTTCTTTGGAAAGTTGTGAGCTGGTCCTGCTAGAAAAGGAAATTTGGCTGGGCATATTGACACCACCATTTCATCCATTTTGATGCTGTACCCTATATGTGATTCGAGAGGATGACCAGGTCGATTCCCATTCAGTCGTTTGTCGCCGATGCACCGGAATCGCGTATTCTTCTAATTTTTAGTATCGAGTGTGGCTAAAACCGAATGCGGAGCAACAGTTCCTCTATGGAAACAACATTCTGAAATCTGGAATTGCACGAATGACAGAAGGCATACCAACTCATGCTGGCATTGTTGTCTACAATATGAATGACATGCCTTTAGGGTAAGATGCTTGTGCAATTTTTTAATCTTTTGTTGAGCTATTTACGGTTAGTTGAACGAGTTCGTTCGACAACCAACTCGTGCACCACCATCTTGCTGTATTGAGCTTCTTCTTAGCTGCCGTAAATAGCATTCTCTCCTACCTTATTCGGTTCACTTTGTTCTGCAATTCTTAATACTGTAGGTTTGGAGTGGCTGGAAAGGGAACAGCAGAAAGTAAGCGTGCAGATCCAACCGCTATTATTGTCCTCCATCAGTGCGATTTAGGAGAGTATATTCGTTGCGAGAGTACGTTAACATGATTCTTCATTGGATACTTAATTCTTCATTTGTTGATTGGAATTGTTATCTTGCTCGTTGACTGAGATGTTTGGAAATGAATTTTCACTGTTAGTAGACTTCGTAGTAATAGCAGCAATGTGACACTTCAGAATTGGATTATGAGCAAAAAATGAAAAGGAAGTTAAACGTTCTAGATAAGATCACTTGTTGGTAAGGCGGCCTTCATACCTAACGGCGACGTCGGTTCCGTCGGATGGAGACGTATTTACTCTTCTGAACGTAATCGCCGGAAACGTCGGCACTGTTCACAGTCTGCGGCCCAGCGTTTCTCTTGAAAGAAGCGGTTCGATACGTATCGATTGGCGTTCGGGCGAAACAGTTTTGATACGTGTCGACGGGCGTTTCGTCGAACCGCGCAGCGTTTCGCCTTCGCGAAACGCTAGCTCGACCGCCCTGGCGTTTTTCGCCAGCAAAATCGATACGCATCTATTCGCTATCGATACGCCTTTCGCCCAACCGCCGAACCGCGGCGGTTCGGCGAAACGAGCGGTTGGCGATTCTCCGATCGACTATTTTTCGCTTTTCGCCTTACCGCCATTTCGTCAGGGTCACAGACTGTGAACAGTGCCTTACGTCGACGACGGCAACGTCGTCGCAAGCTATGAACGCAGCCGAATATCAGTAACGAAATCGAGATCGAATGAAAAACCGCTAAAGTACCGTTGAAAAAAACTTGCTCATTTGCACGCTGAGAGCTTGACTGATCCCGGGAATCGCAGACGAAAGCACCAAATTCTTTTGATCTGCTTGTGAAGAGGAGTACAACTGCATCATTGACATCATCGAAGGGAAACGATTGGCAACAATCTGTGCTCGATCCGATGACATTCCTGGGCACACCTATGATGGAAAGATTTGGAAGTAGCAGTTCTTGAATTGGATGGATTGAGAACTCTTGGGGTATGTGGGAAGACAAGCGTAAAATGTCGCGTTGGTGAACGTGGCAAGCATCGTCGCGCCCGAAGTACGAGTTATCTTACATGACCATTTAATTTAGTGAAAGGGAAGGAAAAGGCCAATATCTCAGGTCATGGAGTATTTTCTGCGCCTGAATCCACATGATTCACATGATGAATTCCCCTGCGCTGTTGACAAACGATGACAATAGAGCATTTGCCGCGCAACGCCGCGACAAGTCACACTTGTTTTATCCATTTCCCGAAGTTGCTTTAGACTTACCATTAACTGCCGTGTCCATGTGTCCTTCACTGATTCAGGGCGAGCCTTTCTCGATATTTCTTGAAGACATTCAAAAGTGATTCCGTTCACCTGAAAAGCCTCCATCCTCACTTCTTCACCGACGGTACAGTAAAATTTAATTAATTTAATTTAAAATCACTGGAGACACCCTACCTGACGTCTCCCAACCATAGCCTTAAGGTATTCAGTGAGGCGCAGCAAGAACTGGGCGCTGTCACGTGGTGACTTCGTGCGTTGAATCATGAACCCATCAATGACCATTGTTGTTGCAAGTGCCTTTAAAAGTCATTTGATTCTATAAACAAACGACTTTTGTCACTGATAGTCATACTTTTGGCAGTTTCCAATATCTTACGAATACTCTGATAAAAGTTCTTTAGAATGCGCCATGCGTCTAGCTTCTCTTTAGAAGTGTAACTCCATTATATAGAGCGGTATATGCTGTGAATCTGAGCTATGCAATGTTTAACGTTTCACGGCCCATACTGTTTATCTTTCTGAATGAATCTGATACGTAGTAACCGACTCCGCAGGGGTAAAGGTTGAAGCTGACTTAGTTGGATTGGGTGAGATTGGATTCCCGATTAACGCACAACAACAAAAGATTGAAGAAAGACAAAAATGGCAGTAAAAAAGTAGCGATTCTCAAACAAACGACGAATTTCTTGATCCGCAAACTACCCAATTCGTGCACCTCTCCGCAGGGAATTCGCTCCAGTTGCAAAAGTTTTGAGCAAGAATAAATGGCGTGAAGGCGAACGCTGTAGAGTGAAAACGAAGACCCTTCTGCCCTTGCCCTCGCAACCGATGTGATAGCCTATCGCAACGGCTCTGAACCCCGCTGAAATCCATCTCGAGCGGGCTCCGAGGCAGAATGGAATCCCTTATGAAAGGGCACCAACATGAGTGGACCATGGATGGAAACGATGCAGGAAGAAATCTCTAAATGTCGCTGAGATGCTCCTTAGGTGCTTTCCGACACTCAATAGGACTCCCTTGCACGCGGTCCTGATAAAGGTAGCATAAAATTTTGCAAGTGCTCTGAACCCCGATGAAATCCATCTCGAGCCGGCTCCGAAGCAGAATGGAATCAGGGCGACATGAGTGGCCACCATGGATGGAAAGGATGCAGGGAGAAATCTCTAAATGTCGCTGAGATGCTCCTTGGGTGGTTTCCGACCCTCAGTAGGACCCCTTTTTACGCAGTCTTCGACAAGGATAGCATAAAATTTTGCAAGGGCTCTGAACCCAGCTGATTTCCCTTCCGCCCTTCTCCTGGTAATCGAGGTGATCGCCTATTGCAAGGGCTCTGAACCCCGCTGAAATCCACCTCGAGCGGACTCCGAGGCAGAATGCAATCCCTTATGCAAGGGAGACATGGAACTCCATGGATGGAAACGAAAGGGGGGGGGGAATCTCTCAGTGTCGCAGAGATACTCTTTAGGTGCTTTCCGACCATCAATAGGACACCCTTGCACGCGGTCTTCGAAAAGGGTAGGATAAAATTTTGCACGGGCTCTGAACCCCGATGAAATCCATCTCGAGCGGGCTTCAAGGCAGAATGGAATCCCTTTGCAAGGGCACCGACATGAGTGAACACCATGGATGGAAACGATGCAGGCGGAAATCTCTAAGGTTGCAGAGATACTCTTTAGGTGCTTTCCGACCCTCAATCGGACCCCTTTTTAAGCGGTCTTCGAGAAGGAAAGCATAAAATTTTGCGAGGGCTTGAAACCCCGCTGAAATCCACCGGCGAGCGGACTCCGAGCCAGAATGGAATCCCTTATGCAAGGGCACCGACACGAGTGGACACAATGGATGGAAACGATGCAGGCGGAAATCTCTAAGGTTGCCAGAGATACACTTTAGGTGCTTTCCGACCCTCAATAGGACCCCCCTTGCACGCGCGCTTTCGAGAAAGGATAGCATAAAATTTTGCAAGGGCCCTGAACCCCGCTGATTTCCCTTCCGCCCTCGCCTTGGTAATCGAGGTGATCGACTATTGCAAGGGCTCTGAACCCGCTGAAATCCACCTCGAGCGGACTCCGAGGCAGAATGGAATCCCTTATGCAAGGCACCGACATGAGTGGACACCATGGATGGAAACGATGCAGGCGGAAATCTCTAAGGTTGCAGAGATACAATTTAGGTGCTTTCCGACCCTCAATAGGACCCCCTTGCACGCGGTCTTCGTTAAGGGTAGGATAAATTTTGCAAGGGCTCTGAACCCGATGAAATCCATGGCTCCGAGGCAGAATGGAATCCCTTATCGCCAAAATTACTAATGTCGCAGAGATAAATGTCGCAGAGATACTCTTTAGGTGCTTTCCGACCCTCAATAGGACCCCTTTGCACGCGGTCTTTCGAGAAGTATAGCATTAAATTTTGCAAGAGCTCTCACCTCGCTGATATCCCGAAGAAATGGACCGTTTCAGCGCTCCTTTGGCAGCAAAGTGGCGAAAAGCAATAGTTACGCGACCAATCGCAGCTTTTAAATCCATCACCAGGCGAACTGAGTACTGCATCCTTCCGAGATCGGTTAGTGACAGTGTCCTGCTCATAAATGAAAACTCCGGCTCCGGGTGGTGTCTTGCGCTCGGGAAGTGACAATTTCCACTTTTTGCTGGTTCTTGTTAACTTACAGATTACCTGTAAACTCTTGTGAAGCTGCGAAACGGTACAAGTGGGCATTTGAGTTACAGGAATTAAAAAGTTTTCACAAAGTGACCTAAACAAGCTTTGTTGAGTATCATTTAGTGTCCTCAATTGGCTGGAGTGCTTCCTTTGGAGTTTGTTGGGCGAATGTCGCGGGCGCTGCGTAGGGAACACTGATAGACAATATGCGCAGGCCACACCGAAAAATGCACAATCAAAACGTAACACGAAAAGCAGAATCCCTCTGCTACTGTTACGGTTGGGTGCTGCATTAATTGATCGGGAGTTCCTTGCTAAAATTTTACCTGCTCGCTGACACTGTATTGAGGAGTAAGTGTCCCTTCAACCAGATAGACACGATTTTTCATCGGAGATCGACGCAATCGTTGCTTCTGTTCTTCATATCGTCCTGGAAACCAACTCTTCACCACGATCGTTAAGTGTGCGATGGGGATTTCAGCGCCTTCTAACAAGGGATTGAGGCAATAAACAACAACGTTAACAACGAATGCTGTCTAGCTGGCGAGCGTACTCTGTGCATAACATTGATCACAAGGTAAGACAATGACAGTTACTGAAGATAACCAGACGCTCTACACTTTTTGTAGCTCGAAAGTGAATAACTCGGGACCCTCGTTATTAACTCTCGAGCTACAAAAAAAGGCTAGAGTTTTTCGAACTGTAGACACCACTACCGTCTTCGAGGAAGATGTTATAGCTATTGGTACTTATAAGGGTAATTGCAACAATCCTACAAAAAATGCATGTTTCTTCTTCTTATCCTAGGGTTAGTCCCCGCCGTCGCAGGGTCCTGTTCTTGTTAGACGTCGCCACTTGTTCCGATCCAGTGCATCTTCTGCTGTGGCTTTCACTTTAGTAAAGCCCTTCTTTGATGAAGTCCCTCCATCCTCTCTTTGGTGTCTACTTCGAATTCCGATGCTTCCTTATTGGAAGGTCTTCAGGCCTCCTCAGTACATGCCCATACCATCGCAGTCGCTACTCTCGTGCTTTCAGCTGGATCGGAGCGGTCTGTGTGACCGCTCTGATCCAGCCTCCTCGTTTCTGACCTCTGGCCTCCTCGTTTCTGACTCTGTCGAGTCGTGTCCAACGCAGGCCTATCTCAGCATCCTCATTTTAGCTGATTGGGCTGCCTTTCATGTTCTTGCAGATGGACCAGTATTCACGTGCCGTAGAGCATTGTAGGCCTTACCCGCCCGGTACACCGTGCCCTTGAGCGTTCTCGAGCACCGCTGCTTGCAAAGGATACCATGGACTCCCTCCATTCCATCCAGGCTGCGTTGATACGGGCTTTCACCGCCTGGTCCACGCTGCCATCAGCTGCTAGGTCCTCCCCAGGTACTGGAAGTCCTTGACCCTTTCGATGCTCTTGCCGTGACGGGTCTACGATGGTTCGGCACACTTTTAGAGTTCAGGAACTTGGTCTTCTTCACGTTCAGCCGGAGCCCATTCTAAGCGAGCACATCCTGCCACCGCTGCACCTTATCGTGGAGTCCCTGCTGTCCGCTATCAGGGCCATTTCGTCAGCGTAGAGGATGTTTTCAGTGGTCCCTCCATGAGTTTCTTTTGCCATGTCATCTAGAATCAGGAAGAAGAGAACGGCCGAGGGCTGATCCTTGGTGTAACCCAACCGTGATGTTTACCTCTTTCGTCAAGCCGTGCGAGGTGCGTACGGGCTGCTTTAGCCCCATCGTACATGTCCTTCCACTAAGGAGATCAGGCGCTCCGGGACAGAGCTATACCGCAAGATAAATGAATAGAAGAGATGTCGGTTCTTTTCTGTGTTACGCAATATTTTTCTGAATTTTATACTTATTAATTTCTCAACATGTACAATTTCCAACACTTAGGTCCCACATCTCTGGAGCGCCTGTACTCTGAGGCGCGTTCTCGAAGCGCTCTCCGAAGTACAGGCCGAGAACAGGCGGTCGAATACCTTCTCAAGGTCTAGGAAGGCTAGGTAGCAGGGTCGCCGCTTCTCTCGGTACTTCTCCATTAGCTGTCTGACGATGAAAATGGCAACAGTGGTGGACCTTTTGGGCATGGTAGAAGGACTGTTTCTGCGAGATAGCGACACGTTCTCTTAGCCTTGTGTTGACCAGGCGCTCGTACAGCTTCATGGTATGGGGAGTCACTTGGTGCTACGGTAGTTGGAGCAATCCGTCGCTTCATATTCCTGTTTGAAGATGGGGACGATTGTGCTGCTCCTCCACGCATCCTTCCTAATGCCGTTACGTTGTTCAGCACGTTTGTGAGCCAACTCACCCCGCCTTACACCTACAAAGAAATGATTATAACGGTCTGAATTTACATTACTTTTTGCATAAGCTAGTGATGTCCGCTTTACATCATCTCTACTTGAATATTTTATTCTTTTCTATACATTTTTTCTGGACACTTTTTCGTGCAAAACTTGAACCATACCGATCTGATGCTTTGATGAAGATCACTCCATGTTTTTCGTTCAACAACCCAATCAAGGATAATCTCAGTGCCATCAATCTTACGGGCGACCCATACGTAGTCACCAACTGATAGAGATCGCACTTCCACCTAAACAGACACATTATTCGAGTAAAAATTGCATG